TATATTCCCCATGTTGAAAAATATATCCTTCTAGCTTATTTTATACCTAATAGTTTGTACCTCTTAAGCCTCTCCCCCTATCTTGCCCCTTTCCCCACTGGTAACCACTAGTTTGTTTTCTGTATCTGCAAGTCTGCTTCTTTTTTGTTATATTCACTATTTTGTTGTATTTTTTAGATTCCACATATAAATGATGACATACTTATCTTTGCCTTTCTCTGTCTGTTATTTCACTTAGCATAATACCCTCCAGGTCCATCCATGTTGTTGTAAATGGCAAAATTTCATTCTTTTTTATGGCTGCGTAGTATTCCACTGTGTGTGTGTGTGTGTGTATGTGTGTGTGTGTGTGTGTGTGTGTGTGTGTGTGTCTGTATAGTCATCTGTTGATGGACACTTAGGTTGCTTCCACATTTTGGCAATTATAAACAATGCTGCTATGAACATTGAGGTGCATGTATGTTTCTGAAGTAGTGTTTTGTTTTTTTTCAAATATATACTCAGGAATGGAATCACTGGGTCATATGGTAGTTCTCTTTTTAGTTTTTAAGGAACCTCCATACTGTTTTCTATAGTGGCTGCACCAATTTACATTCCCACCAACAGTGTACGAGGGTTCCCTTTTCTCCACATCCTTGCCAACATATGTTATTTGTGTCATTCTGACAGGTGTGAGGTGATATCTCATTGTGGTTTTAATTTGCATTTCTCTGATGATTAACAATGTTGAGCATCTTTTTCTGTGCCTGTGGCCATCTGTATGTCTTCTTTGGAAAAATGTCTATTCATATCTTCTGCTCATTTTTTAATCAGGTTGTTTGTTTTTTTGATGTTGAGTTGTATGAGCTCTTTATATATGTTGGATATTAACCTCTTACTGGTCATGTCATTTGCAAATATTTTCTCAGTAGGTTGTCTTTCTGTTTTGTTGATTTCCTTTGCTGTGCAAAAGCTCTTAAGTTTAATTAGGTCCCATGTGCTTATGTTTGCTTTTATTTCCTTTGCTTTAGGAGACAGATCCAGAAAAATACTGCTACAATTTACATCAAAGAGTGTTCCACTTATGTTTTTCTCTAGGAGTTTTATGTTTTCTGGTCTTACGTTTAGGTCTTTAATCCATTTTGAGTTTATTTTTGTATATGATGTTAGAGAATGTTCTAATTTCATTCTTTTACATGTAGCTGTCCAGTTTTCCCAGCACCACTTATTGAAGAGACTATCTTTTCTCCAATGTATATTCTTGCCTCCTTTGTCATAGGTTAATTGACCATAAATGCATGGGTTTATTTCTGGGCTCTCTATTCTGTTCCATTGATCTATGTGTCTGTTTTCATGCCAGTAGTATACTGTTTTGATTACTATAGTTTTTTACCAGAGTCTGAAGTCAGAAAGCATGATTCCTTCAACTCTTCTTTTTCAAGATTGTTTTGGCTATTTGTAGTCTTTTGTTTTTCCATACAGATTTAAAAATTATTTGTTCCAGTTCTGTGAAAAATGCCCTTGGTATTTTGATGTGGATTGCGTTGAATCTGTAGATTGCCTTGGGTAGTATAGTCATTTTAACAATACTAATTCTTCCAACCCATGAACACCGTATATCTTTCCATCTGTTTGTGTCATCTCCAGTTTATTTCATTAATGTGTTACAGTTTTCTGAGTACAGGTCTTTTTCCTCCTTAGGTAGGTTTATTCCTATTTATATATTTATATAAATATTTATATTTTAAATATTATTTATATAAATTTCCTATTTATATATTTTTTAAGTGTTTGGATTAATATGATTTACTCTTAACTCTGTATATATATTCAGCTTTCTGTTACCATTCAATTTTTTCTCCTAGCTTCATTGAAATATAATTTACATACAACAGTCCTTCAAGATATAGAGCATTTTCATCACCCAAAAACTCTTCCTCCTGCTGCTTTGTAGGCAAGCCCCTTCCCCAGTCTCTGGCCCAAGACAACAATGATCTACTTCTGTCACAATAATTTACCTTTTCTAGAATTTTGTATACTTAGAATCATACCGTTTTTAGTTTTGGTGTCTCATTTATTTTATTTAGTAGAAACTTTTTGAGACTCATCCATGTTATAGGATTTAATAATATTTCTTTTTTACAGTAAGTCCCCTACATACGAACCTTCAAGTTGCAAACTTTCAAAGATGTGAATGTGTGTTCCATCAATGTCAGGCGTGAGTGACATTGCAGCTTGCCCTCTGTCTCCTACTGCTGATGCTTCTTCAGCTCTACCATCTCCCCCCTCCTCTCCCTCTTCCAGTCAGTAACTCTTCTTGCCTGTTCACTCGATGCCAGCCCCTGTATGTCAGCTGTTGTCTGTACTACTGTACTTTCCAAGGTACTGTACTGTAAGGTTAAAAATGGTTTCTTTAGTTTTGTGTTTGTTTGTTTTTTACATATTATTTGTGTGAAAAGTATCATACACCTATTACAGTATAGTACTATATAGGCGATTGTGTTAGTCGGGTACCTAGGCTAACTTTGTTGGACTTATGAGCAAATTGGACTAATGAATGTGCTCTTGGAATGGAACTCATTCGTATGTAGGGGGCTTACTGTATTTCTAACTAATAGTCCATTTTATGGATGTAGCACAATGTATTTAATCCGTTTATCAGTTGGTGGATATTTGGGTTGCTTCCAGTTTGGGGGTAACGCACATAATACATGAGCAATGCACATGATGCATGTACATGTCTTTGTGTGAGTATATGTTTTCACTTCTGTTGGGTAAATACAGGGCGACTTCATGGGTGTGCACCATGGGCATTGGTCCTCAGAAGGGCCCTGCACTTGGTTTAGTGTTCTGCTTTGCTCTCCTGAGCAGTTGTACCGTTTTGCATCCCCACCAGCAATTTACGAGAGTTCCAGTTGCTCTGCATCTTCATCAATTTCTGCTGCTTTCTACCATAGTCATCTCTTCAAACCTTTAAAACTAGAGGAGGAGTTAGTATGTTGCAAGGGTCTTATTGCTCATCCATGAACAACTCCCACCCTCCATCTCTCCTTTGGACTTGGGCTTCCATGAGTTCATAAGACACTAAATAAACTGGTGGGGATAGGAATAGCAGAATTCACAGAATCATGAAGTTTCACAGTCATGGACCGCTCTTTGTTCTCAAGCTGACACTGTTATGTTGTCTAATATCAACAGTTGTACATTGGGAATTTAGGCACAGGAATGTTTTCCAAGCAAACAGACCAAGAGAATTGCATTGCTTTTTAACTGTGATCAGCAGCCACTTTGGAAAAAGTTATTTGAGTTGTCCTATAAGGATAATGTATGTTTGCCATATGGCTGTTGCCTTTTAATTTAATAAATAAACAAAGAGTTAAACAGATGGCCCCGTTTCAAGTACAAGTTCTCCAACAATGGAGTCAGCACCAGACTATGTTTATTATATTCTTTGTGTCAGAATCATATTCATTAAGAATAGAGACTTCCCCAAATTCAGATGCTTCACATATAATTCTTTACCCTCATTTGAAAGTCAGCTATCCTGCTCCAGAAGAAAGTAGATTGATCTGACATCCTGGGCTCTTCAAAAAGCACCTTTGCTGCAGTCACACTGTGATTTTGTAAGTATTTCCGTAAAGCAACAAAAATATAATTTATAAAATGAGTTGTTTCTTCATAAGAAAAGATGAACACCTACATTTTTCTCTATTTTCTGTGATTTCTTAAAATACCATAATAGAAATAGTTCAGTTCTTTAAGTATCACTCTGGCTTGCACTTTTGGACACATTTTAAGTGCAGCAAAGCTGTCGCAAAATAACAGTGAATGAACTTAATAGACCCACATACAGAAAATGCTGTAATTCACTGAGGCAGGAAAAGAAAAAAGAAGAAATGGAGAGACCTATCACTTTCATGGATAGGAAGACTGAAGATGTTTGTTTTCGCCAGGTTATGACATAAAAATAAAAAGATTCCAATCAAAACCCCGAAGGATTTGGGGGAGCAATTGACAAACTTATTCAAAAATCTGACAACAAGAATGAATAGGGAGAAGAACCAAAATAATTTTGAAAAAGAATAATAAAAAAGGAATACTTACCTTATTAAATGTCAAAATATTTTATAGAAAGTGCTTGGTCTCATGGAGAAATCTCTATTTTTTGTTTATCTGACCATGCAGGGTTTAATAAAGACAATAATAAATGTTTGAGCAGAAATGTGGGGAAATAGGTATATATTTTTTTACTTTTGAACATTTCAATAAGGGAAAACTGAACAATAGCCTGTTCTGGTTGGGCTGAGGGTTTTTCCCACAAGGGTCAAATTCATTCCAATACTATCCTTGTGTGGACATCATCCTTTCCTTTAGGATGGTCTCTACTGATTGCCTGAAAGTGCCATGGACCTTTTAATGTTAATAAAGGGGCTTAGTATCTTTCCATTAGTGCATTCCTTATGATGCAAAGATGTTCCGATTGGTTCCAAGAGCAGATGTATACTGAGAGCATTTAAATGATTGAAAAATAAGTGTATTGTTGATACCTAGATTAACAGACAGACTTGGTGAATCACAAGAGCTGCATCCACAAGTATCCTTCATAATTTCTGGCTACTCATTTTCATATTAACTGGAATGAGTTTCTTTTCAAATATATAAGATGGAAGATGAGACGGGAAAATTGACTTATTGATAGAAGGGAAACAATCCTCCCACGTCAAAGAATTAGGTAGCTTTTTAATTTAAAGTTCCAGTAGATGAATAAGGTTGATATTTCCCAGGAGTGACCTTGATTGGAATTTCCCCTCAGTCTGAGGTAGCCAGGAAAAGACAGAGGTACATTTTTCATAGCTCCATACTGGCCACTCTCATCCCTCCTCACGTTCTGTCTCGTCGTGCTGGTCGGGTCCGGGGTTCAGTGCTCCGAACAGGGGTGAAGTTAAGAAGTGACAGCTTGCCCTGGCCAAGAGTGACTCAGCACTCTGACTTCTGGTGTAGGATATTAATGCAGCTGGACATACGCTTGGTGGAAATATTTATTTTTAGAACTATCCATAACATCTTCCTGAATCCAGATCTTCACCTCGCTCTGGGTCTCCCACCAGTCACTGGACCCCAATGTCATTTCCAGGCGCTGTTCTGCAGAAAACGCTAGGCTGGCTTCCTCCTATTCAGCCTGCCAGCTGATCTGTACATAATCAGGTGTATATGAGAATGCATATTTATTCATTTGACATTTACTTATCACACCTCTTCCGAGGTGGTTATCACAATATCTTGGCCAGGCTCTATCTCATTACCCCTGAACAACAAAATATTATAGGAGCACTTTCTGCCTAGGAGGTCTGAGAAGGTTCCTGAGAGGCTGTGGAGTTTGGGTAGAATGTGGAAAGGTAATAGGAATTTACAGATAGATACAAGGGCAAGATTATCCTTGGTCAGGGATAAGCTCTTCCTTTCCCATGGCACTGATGCTGATCGGTTCCACATTGATATCTCCAGCCCTGATGTCTCATCGTATTTCAGATCTGTACTTCCTGCTGCCTATGGGACAGTAGTTCATAAGCCAGAAATCTGGGAATCATCCTAAATTCCTTTATATATCTAATCCCTTATATCCAAGTCACAAAGACCTGTTTATTCTACCTGTTAAAGATTTTCTCAAATCCATCCCCACTTCTCCACCTGTATTGCCACTAACTTCATCTGGAAACCATCATCATGTCTTGCCTGGAGTATATTAAATGCCACCTAACTGGCCTTGTAATTCTCATCATGTGTCCTTTCAACCTGACAAAGTGAGGGAAAAGGCCCATCTCTCTTTTTTTTTTTTAACATCTTTATTGGGGTATAATTGCTTCACAGTGGTGTGTTAGTTTCTGCTTTATAACAAAGTGAATCAGTTATCCATATACATATGTTCCCATATCTCTTCCCTCTTGAGCATGTGCTGTGCCACCCTCGGGAGCCTGCGCTTGCTTACTGACCGAGCTGCAGCTTTCAACACTCTCTGTTCACAACGTCCTCTCTGGCCATCCCGAATTACCTGCAGATCCCCAAATATGACTTGTGTTTTAATACGTTGCACTGTGGCATAGGTCCCCATTAAACGAAATGGTCTTGGCCTTGTGATCTGAAAATTCCCATCCGCTCTTCCACATTGTCCCAACTTCACAACCTCTCAGGAACCTTCCAGGGCAGAATGTGCTCCAATAACACTTTTCTGTTTGAGACTAATGAGATGGAGCTGGAGGGGGCACGCTTGCACCCTGTAAAGCAGACTCTGTCTCCTCTTCGCTGTCCTACGGAAGGCTGGCAGTGGAGGTGGTCTTTGGCTAAGTTAAATGAGCACCTGAAAATTTATTTACCAACCCTGGGGTCCCCATGTCCCTACTGTGATCCACCTTGGGGCAACATGGCCTTAAGGGTCATGCATGACCCAAAGATATGAATATTGTTGGGTTTTGCCAAAGGTAGGAGACAAAGTTACATAACACACTTACAGCTGCATTATTTTGTAAATCATTATTTTGAGCTGATTCCAAAATGAACTTTGACTTTATTTTTTGGTATTTTGTGTATTCCGGGAGGGAATAGTGCCCATTTCCTGGTGTCCAGTGTGGGATAAAGGAGCCCAGGGAGGGTCTTCCTGTCTCCAACTCAGCACAGCTACTATAACACTTCGACTTTGTATTTGTTCCCATATCAGTTTGCCTGTATTCCCTGAGAATACGGGAATTGCATTGGTTTTTCTAGCCTATGAACACTGCCTGGCACATGGTGGGTGCTCAATAAACCTTGTCTTATTATACAACTCTAATAAAATAATATAGTTTCTCTTACTCCATCACCCATAGCCTTCATTACGTTGCTCTTGATATTAATGTGTCCCTGAGGTGAAAATCATGACAATTTCTCTTGGGTTTTTAACACCTACACATTACTTAGGTATCATGTCATCATAACATCTCAGAAGAGACACAAGAAGAAAATAGTGCTCGCGTCTTTTGGGCCATTAGTTGATGTTGTAGTTACAAGTGAAAGCCACCAGATGGCTTAAGGAAATGAGTTTATTTCCAATTGAGATTTTAGCGGAGAAATCTAGGACCGAGAAGTAAAGCATGATTGGAGGGAGCTCAAAAGGCTCTCTGTAGTGAACCCCAAATAACCCACAAACCCTCACTTACCAGTGTCACCACCTGACTTCAGAAATGGGTTTGTAGAGGCTTTGCAACCTGCAGAATGAAAAACACCAAACTGTGTATCATCCTTCCAGCGTCTACATGCTTTAAGAATTACAGAATAGTTACTGAAATTTAATTCCACAAATATTTATTGAGTGCCTAAGTCCCAATTACACCTTCTGAGAGGCTCATTGAAGCATATGACACAGAAAGCACAGCTTACTCAAGATGGAAAATGTGCAGGAGACTAGAAGTAGAAATGGATGTCTTTTTCTCCTTGTGTACACTAGTGCTGCAGTTTCAAGGAGAAATGCTGGCAGAAAATAATTGTGACCTAGAAAATTTTTGCATATTATCTGTAGGCAGAATAGGTAAAAGACAAATGAAAACAAAGCAAAGCAAAACTTTAGATGACCACAGTATTTCTAACTCAAAGTGTATTTTATATGGTATTTGTATGAGAACCAGAGTTGAAATTGTTAGAGTAGATTGAAACATTTTAATGAAGTAAGTTAAATATAAACCTATATATAAAAAGATCTGGGAGGATGTATACCAATGGTAGAATAAACCAAAGGAGATAAAAATCTAACTTAAGAGATAACCCAGTATTTGAGATTAAAAGAAAAAAATTGAACTGGCTAAGATAGTTCACTTACCTTTTCTTTTTACCAATCTATAATTTATCTTTGCTGTAATCATTTTGTGTTAAATAAACTGTTTACTTTCTGATTAAAAAAGTGATACATGTACAGTCTAGAAAATTTAAAAATAGAAAAGTATAAAAGAAAAAATAAAAATTACCCACAGTCTGATTACAGAGAGAAAATCGCTGTTGGCATTTGGGTTACAGGCACACCTCGGAGATACTGCGGGTGGGGTTCAGACCACCCAACAAAGCAGATATCGCAATAAAATGAGTTGCACGAATTTTTGGGTTCCCAGTGCATATAAAAGTTACATTTACACAATATTGTAGTCTACTGAGTGTGCAATAGCATTATGTCTAAAAAAGCAGTGTACGTATCTTAATTAAAAATATAACTATACCCGAATAAAAAATAAAACACCCTGTACCCATTAAGTAGTCACTCCCCATTCTCCTCTACCCCCATCCCTGATCAACTGCAATCTGCTTTCTGTCTCTGTTTTCCCAAATCTCTGTTTTGCCTATTCTGGATATATTATATAAAAGAAATCATGCAATAAAAAAATATTGCAAAAAATTCTAAATATTATCTGAGACTTTAGTGAATTGATATCTTTTTGCTGGTGGAAGGTCTTGTCTGGACGTTGATGCTGCTGACTGATCAGGGTGGTGGCTGCCGAAGGCTGGGTGGCCGTGGCAATTTCATGAAATAATAGAGCAATGAATTGCCACATTGATTGACTCTTCCTTTCACAAACGATTTCTCTGTAGTGTGCACTGCTGTTTGATAGCATTTTACCCACAGTAGAACTTTCAAAACTGGAGTCAATCCTCTCCAACCCTGCCGCTGCCTTATCAACTAAGTTTATGTCATATGTTAAATCCTTCGTCATCATTTCAATAATCGATTAAGTTGCCGTCTTATATGGGCGCAGTTCACGGTGCCTCAAAACAATTACAATAAAGATCACTGATCACAGATCACCAGGACAAATATAATAATAATGAAAAAATTTTAAATATTGTGAGAATTACCAAAGTGCGACACAGAGATACGAAGTGGAGCAAATGCTGTTGGATGCACGATCACAAACCTTCGACCTGTGAAAAAAAGGCAATATCTGCAAAGTACAATAAAGGGGAAGACAGTAAAATGAGGTATGCCTGTATTTTCTTTCGTTCTTTTTTCCTATGACTCTAAATATGACATATATGTAACTGGATGTTGAGGGAAATCTCACTTGTTTCCCTGGAGCTGGCAAACAGGACCCAAAGCTTAGGACAGAGAGCCATCAAGACCCTATGGTAGAAAGAGATCTTCAAACAGTTGGGGTCCAACTGCTCATCCAGAGCTTATTAAGGATGACCAAACCTTTCCAGTGTATATAAGCAAAAGGCTGATAGAGGGTGAGGGAGATGCATCAGAGTCTAGAAACGTCTGCCCCATGGGGAGGACTCCACTATCCCTCCCTCCAAACCTAAAAGGAGTATCAGCACTTTCCCCTGGGGAAATGATGCTAACACCCTGTCCTTGTAGATGTGCCTTGTACTTTTCCTAGCAGGGAAAAGGAGAATGGAGAGATGGCAGAGGTGAGAGAGGAGTGGTCCCTCTGTTTGGCAAGGAGAGAATGGATGAGCTCTTATGGGACTAAAGGACAGCTTGGAAGGCAGCTTAGCTTGATTCAACTTGTCTCTACAACACCCAAGAGGGTTTCCTAGTGGCCAGGGAGTCCTAGCAGCCACACATCGAGGACTGTACCTCCAGGCCAGGAGCTGGAGAGCATTTCCTGGCCACGGAGCTCCCACGCAAAATTCCATGCCGTGAAGATGCTCACTTGAGCATTTAATCGGAGTGTCTGAGTGACACTGCTCCACAGTGGCTTCTATGCCAGTGGGCGTGAACCTGAGAAACCAGTAGAGAAACCTCAGGATAAACACAGTGCAGTCCACTTGAGGAAAGTGTGTCCCGTTTCCCCCTTCCTTCTTCCCAGTCTCCAATCCTAAAAGAACTTGATCCCAGAAAAAAAGGGAGAAGATAGAAGAATGAAAAGTGGATCCCTTGCTGCCTTCATGTCTTTTGGGAGGGAAGCCAGGTTTGTTCTGGGTTGAGAGTGAGTGAGTATTAAGGAGATGTGAGTGAGGTCGCTAAGTATGAACCAAGTGGACTGAGGTTTTAATAACTGGAAATGAGCAGAAAGCTCAGGGAACCCTGCAGACATCAGACAGGGCTGGGAAGGAAGATTTGGGCTAATACATTATGAGGTAGTATATGTCTTCTCCTTTACACTTCAATTTTCTTCAAGGAACTGTATTACTTTTACCATTAGGAAGCAAAGAAAGTTAACCATGCTTATATCCCCTAAGTTCAGACTATTCAATCAATGAGTTATAAAGCAGTTTTATTATTTTTTTCTAAGTAAAAAAATACACTATAAAAGGATTGCAGAAGAAAATTAAAATTGCTTATATTTTTGCCATCCAGAGATAACTACTGTTAACACCCGGTGTATATTCATCCAGACTTTAAAAAAGCACTCTCAAAAAGGATAGAAAATAAAAGGTAGAGCAGCAGAGGTTTTTGGATTATAGTCATGAGTGAGTAATAATTAAAAAGACAAACAAACCCAGGTTGTAAAAATGCACTTCAGAATCTATTAGGAGACAAGAAATGCTAATTTTGCTAAATTCTGGTGAGGGTCGGTATAAAGTTACCTTGGGTGGCACTACAGGTAGCTAACATTTTAAAATATGATAAACTAAATGGATTAAATAAAATTTGTCCCCAGCCTTTTAATTTTTTTTTTCAGCCTTTTAATTTTAAGCATTAAATTCTCTGGGTTTCTTGAATGACAGTGGAACCGGAAAGTCAGCAATTTAGTCATGGGTCAGACAGGAAAGAAAAAACAAATTCTTTTTTTTTTTTTTAATATTTATTGGAGTATAGTTGATTTACAAAGTTGTGACAAATTCTTTATTTACGTGCACAAACACAGAACAAAACAAATTTGCAATTATCACATGGTTACTGTAGGGCGTGTCTGAAAATGTTACGGCAAGCAAGGAACAGAGAAGTAGAAATTAACTGAATAGTACCCATGACTAATTAAAGATTTATAAAATGCTAAAAAAAGTTCTCTCTTACACACACACACACACACACACACACACACTTAAAAATAATAAAACTCTAAAATGACTGTATTTTGTTAAAATAACATGTTGAAGAAAAAATATGTACTGTACCCTGGGTCAAAAGTGTCTCCAAGAAAGATAGGTTTAACTGACTGAATTATCTTCATACAAGTAGTTAACTGAATTATCGTTGAAAACGAATAGTCAAATAAATAGGGTATTTTATAATTAAGCTTTAAAAGCCTATGTAAATCAGCTTTAAATTAGATAACACTACACCATTCACTATTTCTTCATTCAACATACACTTACTCTCTGTGTGGCTAGAAGTGTTGTTTTCTGGACTATGAACCAGACGGTCAAGTTTATCAAACGTGGACAACTTGGCAATATCCCCTTTAGATTCTGGATGAACTTGATGAACTACCCATCAATGGACAGGTCTGTCTAATGCCCTCTCAGCTTAAAAAGTTGGTGACTCAATGCATTTCGAGAAGTTGTAACTTCTCTCCCCTCCCCCTTCAACTTCACAGATGACAAAAACTAAGAGACATTATATAACTAGTCAAAGGCCACAGAACTAGTTAATCCAAAACTAGGATTATAATGCAGCACTCCTCTTTTGTACTCATTCACTTGGCTATTTATTCATTCAATCTTCAAATGTTTATTGTCTCTCCAATGGCAGTCCAGGCCTCGGGGCTCGTCATGTCCCATAACAAAGACAAATAATAATAATAGCTATTAGGCATTAGGCACTACATTAGGTACTTTCACTTGGATTATCTTGTTTAATGGTCATATAATCTTAGCAAGCACTTAGAGAAGAAAAGATAATGTTGATAAATTACAGTATCCTTAAAAAACCTTCTGGAGGGTCAGGGTTGGGGGAGGTAAGTACGCAGAGCACAGAGGATTTTTAGGGCAGTGAAAATACTGTGTGTGATATTATAGTCATAGTTATATGTCATTATACATTTGTCCAAATCCATAGATTGTACAACACCAAGAGTGAACCCTAAGGTGAACTACGGACTTTGTGTGATTATGAGGTGCTAATGTAAAAATCCTTGGTAAATAAATGTACCAATGTGGAGAGTGATGTTGATAATAGGGGAGTAGTCTATGCTTGTGTGGAAACAGAGGGTGTATGGGGAATCTCTGTACCTCTCAATTTTGTTGTAAACTTCAACTGCTCTTTAAAAAGTAAGTCTTACAAAAAACATCCCAAAGAGATATCCTGGCTATTCACAATAGCCAGGACACAGAAACAACCGAGGTTTCCCCCAGTGGATGAATGGATAAAGAAGATAGGGCATATACACACAATGGAATGTTATCCAGCCTTTAAAAAGAGAGAAATCCTTTCATTTACTACAACATGGATGAGCCTGGAGGACAATATGCTAAGTTAAATAAGTCAGTCATAGAAAGACAAATACTGCACGATTCCATTTATATGAGGTACCTAAAACAGTCAAACTCATAGAAGCAGAGAATAGAATGCTGGTTTCCAGGGGTTGAGAGGTGGGGGTAATGAGGTGTTCAATGTGTGTAAACTTTCGGTTATGCAACAGGAATAAGTTCTAGAAATCTGTACAACATAAAGCCTAGGGCTAACAAGATGGTATTGTGCACTTAAAAATTTATTGAGGGTGTGTCTCATGTTGTGTTCTTACCACACACAAACAAAACAAAACAAAACAAGACAAAACAAAGAGACATCAGAAATTTTTGGAGGTGATGGAAATGTCTGTTACCTTGATTGTGCTGCTGGTTTTACGGCTGTTTGCATGGGTCCAAACTCATCAAATTTATCCATTAAATACGTGCAGCTTTTGGATATCAACTATTCCATGGTAAAGCTGTTAAAACAAACAAGCAAACATACAAAAAAATTCTACCTGCATCCTTTGGGTGACTCTGATGTGTGTGTGTGTGTATGCATGCATGTGTGTGTGTGTGTATGAAGCGGTATAGTTTATCTACTAACTGGGAATACTTAGATAACAAAATAAGAGATAAGTCCTATTTGCAATCAGGACCCATCAGACATCGAGAAGTGGTAAGGAGGGACTTCTGGAGGGAATTACGCAGTTGGTTCAAGAGATGCTATGCTTGATTCATGCATTCATTCAGCCAACATTGGCTGAATGCTGACTGTGACCTTGACAGGTACTAGGATACAACAAAAAGCAAAAAATGGACACAATCGCTGCCTTCCTAGAGCTCGCAGCCCTAGTAGAGGAGGACAATTTTCCAACAGTCACCCAAATAACCGTGTATAATAATCATAGCTAATATTTCCTCAGGTCTTCTTATGTGTCAGACATGATTTCAGCCACTTTTCCTGTATTAACTTATTTAATCATCACAAAGAAAAAACAAAAACAAAATTTAAAAAACCTGTGAGTTAGGTACTACTATTATTATCCCCAATTACATTTAAATTATATGGAGGAAAGATTTGTGGTGATATGAGATCATTCCTTGGGGAAACTAACCTGGCCTGTGGGTCGACCCCAGGAAGACTGAGAAAAGATTGTCAAAGGCTGCCCTACCTTGTGTCCAAGGTGGGCAGGGTACTCATGAAGAGGTAGGAAAGTGCTGGAAGTGTATTGGTTTGGGACATTGGTGAATTGTTGGCTGAAGGCGAGAGTGAAAATGAACATTTATTAAGTACTTACTACTTCTTATATGCCGAAGTCTGTGTAGTACTGAACCCTGTCCCTGAATTGTTCTCTGACCCAACTTGAGGGTTCTGATCCTTAAAGGCCGGGGGTGGGGTGGGGGGGGGATGGCGATGGTTCAGAGATGAAGTGCATCGGGTTACCCGTAGGGTAATCTAATTAAAACGAGGTGACCCCTGAGCCCTGGGGAGTGGCAGCTGCATAGGGTTGGCAGTGTCAGATGCCCTGATGGTGGCAGCAGGAGAGTGGCATCTGTGGTGGCAGAAGGGGGCACACCAGTGGCTGCTGAGGTGAACTCACAAATCACCTGGGACCCTGCCAGGGAAAAAGCTCAAAGTTACTGCTTAGTGGATGCTCTCAAAGGCCATCACGGTTTGGGGAAGTGTGAGTTACACACCTGAAGGTTCCCTGCTTATTCTCTTACAGCATCTTTGACGCTTTCTGGTTTCCAAGCATTCAGATTGTTACTGCCTGTGCTGTCTGCTCAGCACTGATGCCACTCGAAAGTTTACGATTCCCCCATGGGAATCATTTCCATCTTCAAACATTGAGCTGTTGCTTCACGTGCTTCACCCCCTCTGCAGCTTTTGATCCTTTTCAAGATGTGCTTGGTGTAGGAAGATGAACTACTGAAAATTAGGGCTTAATTTAATTTGACATACAACAAACACACGCGGATTAACGTTTTTAAAGATCCAGTTATAATTCCTAAGAATGATGGATTATTACAAAGAGAAGTTTTGAATTATCTCGATTCCAGAATCCAGATTTTGAGGGTCCAACGAATTCAGATGCCATTGGATACACCATATTTCCTGCTCTCTGCATGATTTCTGGTATGTTCCAAACCTCTTTAGATTCAGCACTGATAGCTGTAGACAAATTAACACTGAGCTTAGTTTTAGTTTGGGATTCAGTGTGCTACCTGAAGTGGGTGAAAGCAGTTGAAAATGTTAGATTTCAAACACAAGAGGCATGTTTATGGAGGGCTAGGACAATGGGTGTACGTATTGGCCAGATCAGTGGTGCTCCAAGTTTGGTGCCTGGACCAACAGTGTCAGCATTCCCTGAGAATTTATTAAAAATGCTAAGTCTCAGGCCTCTCCCAAATTACTGAGCCCGACATTCGGGGTGGGGACAGCAGGCTGTGTTTTAACAAGCCCTCCAGGTGATTCTGGTATATGTTGAAGTTTGAGAACCGCTAAGCTATTCAAAACCGTAGCAGCTTAAATAAAATCAAAGTTCATTTCTCGCTCATGTACTAGCCTATGAATAAGCCATCTAGGGGTGAAATGGCAGCTTCATGATACCGGGGGCCTAGGGTCACTCCACCTGGTCACTCTATTACTCTCACAATGCGGCATCCATCACTTGGTTTTCAGTGGTTACTCCAGGCTGCCTCTCACACCTGCGTTCCAGCTAGCAGGAGAAGGGTCAGAAGGAGAGCGTGGCCTGGGGATTATCACTTACTGTGGCTGTGACTTTTGTGGCTTGAGGTGCGACAGCAAAACTAGCAGGACTTTCTTTTTCCTTCTTCACAATTTTACGGGCAGAAGATTCGTTCTTCCCGAAGATCTTTGCAACCTCAGCATACGAGTTTTTTCCTTTCTTTGTTAAGTTGAGAACTTTCACCTTTTCACTTAAAGGAAGTACTTTATGGTTTCTCTTTGGCATATGTGAATTGCCAACATCACTAGTCTTGCCCTTTGGGGCCATTATTAAGTAAAATAAGGGTTACTTGAACTCAAGCACTGAGATACCTTGACAGTTGATCTAATAACGGAGTCGGCTACTAAGTAACTAACGGATGGGATACGCTGGACAAAGTGATGATACACATCCCTGGGGGATGGAGAGGGATGGCAAGAGAGTTCATCGTGCTACTCAGTACAGCACAAAATTTAAAATGTATGAATTGTTTATTTCTGGAATTTTCCATTTAATATTTTCAGAGCGCAATTGACTTCAGGAAATTGAAACCTTGGAAAGTGAAACTGCGAATAAGGGGGGGATGACCATACTGTTATTAATGTTATTACTATTTTTCCTCTTAAAACTCAGTAAAATAATCTCTGCAGTAAATTAGCATACTTAAGACAGCTCTGAATCTTCTATAGATAGACCATAAATAAGGCCATGTGGTTTTAACTCTGCCAGTGTAAAGGGGCGTATTAAGCTCTCTATTATTCATTTATAAGGGTGTCTCTGCCTACTTAAGTGGATTTTTATAAAAAGACCAAAAAAGCCTTATTTCAGTTTGAGTCCACCGGGACGTCCCTGCAGTTATTCATGGTTTGATAAAGAATGGAGACAGAGCTGATATGCCTCTTGGAGGGGACAAAGCCTCACCCTTTGCATCATTTGTCCTTGAGTTTATTTTCCACACCTGTGACAGCTCTTTTTTCAGTCCTGGAGCATGGCCCCCCATATCCACGACCTGCAACCCTAGAGGTTGAGGATCTGTTGTCCTTCTCGAAAAGCCCCTCAGCCCTTTGTGTCCAGGGCTCTGCTGTGGAGTAGAGTGAGCACCCCTGGTCTGCCGTTTGGTGCCAGGGCTGGGATGTCTCCCTACTGCACGGAGGCCCTTGGAGTCCCTGAAAGGCTGGACTCTTCCGTATGCACCACCCGGTTGGTGTCTTGCATATGGTGTGAGTTCGATGGTATTTACTAAACAAGGGAGGGTTTCAGCAGAATCTGCATGTAGGGGCATTGCAGAAAGCACATTTAAAGCAATACATCAAAAAAAAAAAATCATTTAACATATGTAACTGAGAAGCAGGTATGTTCTCAATAACTTGGCTAAATGTCATACCCCTACCTTATATAACAAGTCATTTCCCAATTCCTACTACCTGAAAATGTCTTCATATATTATCTGAATTTTCAGAGAGTATGTTTTTCTTCCTTAGTGTTTTTTTTTTTTAGTAACCCTGACACATAGTTTTATGAAAGAAAATTAATTAGCAAAATAACTTGGCACTGAAGTTTCTAAGTTTATTAAAGTTTTCAGTATGTAATTAGGCTCATTTTATCAGTGATGTATACAATTTACTATTAGGATGGAGTTTAGAAATTGAGGGGTGGCACAATCTGATAAATTCTCTGGAGGGACACCTTGGCTTGCCCTCCTCTTTGTTGAGCACTAGTCTCTAAATCCTCAGATTCTTCCCCAGTCCGTGAGGATGTTTCTAAGACCCCCATCCCCACGTGCATCCGAGGGTGGGGGGAGGGAAGAGGATGCGTGGCCTGCTCTCTCATGCCTTAAATCATGTCTTTCACTCTTTATAGTCTACCTGGGGAGAGGCAGCTTGGAACAATGTGTGGTTAGGAAAGCTGAGAGGGGAGGACAAGATGGAGCCCACGGGAAAAAGAGCAAAACTACTTATTAGGGGCTGATCTTTATGCAGCGGGGGTGGTAACGGCTGGGGGGAGGATGGGAACGTCTACTGATGGAGTGACTGCTCTGTGTCAGGAGCTATCACACACATTACCTCAGTGGTGCTTGGATTTCAAGGGTCAGCAGGATTGGACCAAATATTTTGCTTTTCCACGTTCGATTCTGCCAGATGAGGGCCTTAGAGGAACAACTACCATCTCATCACCACCATATGAATATGAGAAGGAAGGACATTTCGACACCAGAAAAGTCAGAATATGTTATTGTGGAATAAAAGATAGCTTTTCAAATTGAATATATGTTGCTTATGAAAAACTTAAAGACACTATCGTTTTTCTTGTATTTTGCCATTTAGTATTAGATTGGTACCGTACAAGGTTTCATTTGTGTACGTGATATCCCAGGAAGCAGGTAGCATCCCTACTCCTAGGCAGGGCAGCTACCCCTCTGCATGCTTTGATAAACCCCATGTAATGAGGCCAAAATTTAAACAATGACTCAGATGTACAGAAAATGTTAACTGCCCTGTTTTCTGTAACTGATCTCATCTTGCTCTTATCGTTTCTAATGATGGAGGAAAACACTTGATCTTGACAAATCAAAGTGTCTTCTTGGCGTCTATCAGTTTTAAATAGCCTATTCGGGTAACTGGTCAGTCTTTCGGGATTCTCTCTAGGGCCTTCCCTACTCCTTTCAAGGTGCTATCTGTAACTGGAAGAGCTGCTCCTGGTCTTGTGGTCTCCCACTGAGGTGTCTCTCAGCCTTGGCACCTGTCCTGAGCATGTGCGTTGGTGTAGCTTGGACTCCGGGCCACCTGGCTCCGGCTCAGCTGAGACACAGCTCTTCCTGCCCATCCTTCGGGCATTAGGCTGGCTCCTGCGCCCAATAACTGAGGACCTTGCTGTTGTACCTGGTCACACGTTGCAGCACTTGGGTCTCCTTACTCTAACTCCAGGCTTTATCAGGGTCATGGGTTCTCTCTGTCCTTCCACACCCCCGCCCCTTATGGGAGACCTGGCAATGCCCTCCTTCTTTCCCCACACCCAACACAATTGTGCAGGATCCTGCGAGGCTGCCCTCTGGTCTGCCAGCCTTGGCCCTGCCCTCAGTCACTGCTCCTCTGCACACACACAGCATTGCATGCCTTGCTGAATGCAAGAGCCCTCGAGAATTTATAGGCTCCTTAGACCATGGCTTTCAAACTTCTTTTGACCAGGAGCTACACTAAGAAATATATTTTAAGTTTAGACACGGTGTATGTACAAAACACACGTGTATGTAAGAGAAATAAAAAATTCCCCCAATTATGTAGATCCTTCCTACTTGTGGATGCACTCTGATATTTCTAATCTAGTCTAAGTCATTAAAAACCACATTGTTTGGGCTCCCCTAGTGGCGCAGTGGTTGAGAGTCCGCCTGCCAATGCAGGGGACACGGGTTCGTGCCCCGGTCCGGGAAGATCCCACATGCCGCGGAGCGGCTGGGCCGGTGAGCCATGGCCGCTGAGCCTGCGCGTCCGGAGCCTGTGCTCCGCAACGGGAGAGGCCTCAACAGTGAGAGGCCCGTGTACCGCAGGGAAAAAAAAAACCAACAAACACATTGTTCCAGTCTACTACAGTGATATATATATATATATATTTTTTTTTTCCAGGGCTCCCTGCATTGGGAGTGTGGAGTCCCAGCCACTGGACCACCAGGGAAGTCCCAAGACTGTTTTCGTCATGCCCCGATGGCTCACTGTCCTAGGATATGCCCCAGGAAGTGAAGCACTGGCTCCCAAATCTTCAGATTCTTCCCCAGTCCATTTGGAGGTTTCTAAGAGTCCATCCCCAAATTCATCCCAGGGTGGGAGAATAAGATAAAGACGTTTGATCTTTTTTCTCATCTCTTAAGTCATGGCCTTTACCCTTTCTAGTCTAGGGTTTATTTTAAGGCCAGTCCTCTAGCTTTGGTTCTTATTATGTAAAATTAGTTGTGGGAGTTCCAAGAAAATCCTTTCAATTCTGATAAGCCCTGTTTTCAAGAATATTGTCTCCTTATCTCACCATGAATTTTAAAAACACTTTAAAAGAAACAGCAAGTATTTTTTTGTCTAGTGGTTTCTGTGGGTCAGGAATTTGGAGGCAGATTAGCTGGGTGGCTCTGGCTCAGAGCCTCTTATAAGGTTGTAGACAAGATAACACCTGAAAGCTTTATTGGGTCTGGAGAATCTGCTTCTAAGATTGCTTACTCACCTGGCCGTTGGCAGGAGACCTCCTTTCCTCACCATGTGGGCTTCTCCATTGGGTTGATTGAGAATCTTCATGATGTGACAGCTTGCTTCCCCCGGAGGGAGTGATCCAAAAGTGAGCAAGAAGGAAGTTGCCTTGCCTTCTATGGCTTAGTCTCAGAGGTCACACACCATCACTTCTGTCTTATTCTATAGAAACAAACATTAAGCCAATGAAAATGTCAGGGGAGGGAAACTGGACCTTTAAAAGAATTTGTGGGAGGGCGGAGTCAAGATGGCGGTGTGGGAAGACACCAGGTAGCATCTCCCGGCAACTAGGGCGCCTGCTGGCTGCTGATGGGGGACCCTGACGCCCAAAGAGATGGGAGGAACCCCCAAGTGAACTGGTAGGATATGGGGGGACAGAGGGGAGAGGAGAAGTGGAGGCCAGACAGGATCGGCACCCCTGAGGCCAGGGAGATCAGGAGAGGCAGGCAGGAGGGGCCGTCTGGAAGGAGCAGGAGAGGAGCGGAGGGCGAGTGCCCCGCCCACTGGAGCCCAGGAAGCCTACTGGGCTCCCAGGTGAGGTCCCCTGCCCTCTGAGAACAGGAGTGGGGGGCACGCCTGGGGCTCTTCTGTCCCTTGAGCCTAAGCCCCACAGCCCCCCAGCTCCCAGGGCCTTTTCCAGCCCTGTGGGTCCTGAGCATTGGCCCCGCCCACTGCCCAAACCTCGCCCATGCTTAGGCCCCGCCCTCCAGCCGAGGCCTTTTCCCTGTTTTTTTTTTTTTTTTTTTCTTTCTCTTTCCCCTCCTCCTCTTTTTTACTGTGGTGGTACTCTTGTACCTTCCGGTTGTTGATTCATCTCTATTTTAATTTTTATGTTCTTTCTAACATATCTGTTAGTTTCCTAGTCTAATTTTATTTTTTACTTCATTATTGTTCTCTCTTTTTTTTCTGCCACCCCATGCGGCTTGTAGGATCTTGGTTCACAAGCTGGGGGTCGGGCCGAAGCTCCCGCGGTGGGAGCTCTGTGTCGGAACCACTGGACTAACAGAGAACCTCAGACCCCAGGGAATATTCATCGGAGTGAGGTCTCACGGAGATCCTCATCTCAGCACCAAGACCCAGATCTAGCCAACAGCCTACAAACTCCAGTGTTGGAAGCTTCAGGCCAAACAACCAGTAAGACAGGAACACAATCCCACTCATTAAAAAAAAAAAAAAAAAAAAAAAAAAAGAGACGGCAAAAAAATATGTCACAGATGAAGGAGAAAGGTAAAAAGCTACAAGACCAAATAAATGAAGAGGAAATGGGCAATCTACATGAAAAAGAATTCGGAGTAATGATAGTAAAGATGATCTGGAATCTCGGAAACAGAATGGAAGCACTGATTGAGAAAATACAAGAAATGTTTAACAAAGATCTAGAACTAAAGAACAAACAAACAGAGATGAACAACACAATAACTGAAATGAAAAATACTCTAGAAGGAATCAATAACAGAATAACTGAAGCAGAAGAACGAATAAGTGAGCTGGAAGACAAAATGGTGGAAATAACTGCCAAGGAGCAGGATAAAGAGAAAAGAATGAAAAGAATTGAAGACAATCTCAGAGACCTCTGGGGCAACACTAAATGCACCAAACATTCAAATTATTGGGGTTCCAGAAGAAGAAGAGAAAAAGAAAGGGTCTGAGAAAATATTTGAAGAGATTACAGTTGAAAACTTCCCTAACATGGGAAAGGAAATAGTCACCCAAGTCCAGGAAGCACAGAGAGTCCCATACAGGATACACCCTAGGGAAAACCACACCAAGACACATGTTAATCAAACTAACAAAAATTAAATTCAAAGAAAAAATATTAAAAGCAGCAAGGGAAAAACAAAAAATAACATATAAAGGAATCCCCATAAGGTTATCAGCTGATTTTTCAGCAGAAACTCTGCAGGCCAGAAGGGAGTGGCAGGATATACTTAAAGTGATGAAAGGGAAAAACCTACAACCAAGATTACTCTACCCAGTAAGGATCTCATTCAGATTCGACAAAGAAATCAAAAGCTTTTCAGACAAGCAAAAGCTAAGAGAATTCAGCACCACCAAACCAGCTTTACAACAAATGCTAAAGAAACTTCTCTAGGCGGGAAACACAAGGGAAGAAAAAGACCTACAATAACAAATCCAAAACAATTAAGAAAATGGGAATAGGAACATACATATCAATAATTACCTTAAATGTAAATGGACTAAATGCTCCCACCAAAAGACACAGATTGGCTGAACGGATACAAAAACAAGACCCATATATTTGCTGTCTACAAGAGACCCACTTCAGACCTAGGGACACATAAAGACTGAAGGTGAAGAGATGGAAAAAGATGTTCCATGCAAGTGGTAATCAAAAGAAAGCTAGAGTACCAATACTCCTATCTGATAAAATAGACTTTAAAATAAAGGCTATTATAAGAGACAAAAAAGGACACTACATAATGATCAAAGGATCAATCCAAGAAGAATATATAACAATTATGTTTATGCACCCAATACATAAGGCAAATGCTAACAACCATGAAAGGAGAAATCGACAGTAACACGATAATAGTAGGGGACTTTAAGACGCCACTTACACCAATGGACAGATCATCCAAACAGAAAATAAATAAGGAAACACAGCTTTAAATGACACAATAGACCAGACAGATTTAATTGATATTTACAGAACATTCCACCCAAAAGTGCAGAATACACTTTCTTCTCAAGTGCACAGGGAACATTCTCCAGGATAGATCACATCTTGGGTCACATCTTGGATCACATCTTCAACACCCACTTATGATCAACCTCGGAAAATTTAAGAAAATTGATATCACATCAAGCATCTTTTCTGACCACAATGCTATGAGACTGGAAATCAGTTACAGGAAAAAAAATGTAAAAAACACAAATACATGGAGGCTAAACAGTGCACTATTAAATAACCAAGAGATCACTGAAGAAGTCAAAGAAGAAGTAAAAAAATACATAGAAACAAATGACAATGAAAACAGGACGACCCAAAACCTATGGGATGCAGCAAAAGCAGTTCTGAGAGGGAAGTTTATAGCAATTCAATCTCACCTCAAGAAACAAGAAAAATCTAAAATAAGCAATCTAACCCTACACTTTAAAAAACTAGAGAAAGAAGAACAAAGAAAACCCAAAGTCAGTAGAAGGAAAGAAATCATAAAAATCAGAGCAGAAATAAATGAAATAGAAACAAAGAAAACAATAGCAAGGCTCAGTAAAGCTAAAAGCTGGTTCTTTGAGAAGATAAACAAAATTGATAAACCCTTAGCCAGACTCATCAAGAAAAAAGGGACAGGATGCAAATCAATAAAATTAGAAATGAAAAATCACAACTGACACTGCAGAAATACAAAGGATTATAAGAGACTACTACAAACAACTATATGCCAATAAAACGGACAACCACGAAGAAATGGACAAATTCTTGGAAAGGTATAATTTTCCAAGACTGAACCAGGGAGAATTAGAAAATATAAACAGACCTACTATCACAAGTAATGAAATTGAAACCATAATTAAAAATCTTCCAACAAACAAAAGTCCAGGATCAGATGGCTTCACAGGTGAATTCTATCAATCATTTACAGAAGAGCTAACACCGATCCTTCTCAAACTCTTCCAAAATATTGCAGAGGGAGAAACACTCCCAAATTCATTCTACAAAGCCACCATCACCCAGATACCAAAACCAGAAAAAGATATCACAAAAAAAGAAAATTATAGACCAATATCACTGATGAACATAGATGCAAAAATCCTGAACAAAATACTAGCAAACAGAATCCAACAACACATTAAAGGGATCATACACCATGATCAAGTGGGATTTATCCCAGGTACACAAGGATTCTTCAATATATGCAAGTCAATGTGATACACCATATTAACAAATTAAGGAATAAAAACCATATGATCATCTCAATAGATGCAGAAAAAGCTTTTAACAAAATTCCACATCCACTTATGATAAAAAATCTCCAGAAAATGGGCATAGAGAGAAACTACCTCAACATAATAAAGGCCATATATGACAAACCCACAGCAAGCATCATACTCAATCCCACTATTGGGCATATACCCTGAGAAAACCATAATTCAAAAAGACACATATACCACAATGTTCATTGCAGCACTATTTACAATAGCTAGGACATGGAAGCAACCTAAGTGTCCATCGACAGATGAATGGATAAAGAAGATGTGGCACAGATATACAATGGACTATTACTCAGCCATAAAAAGAAACAAAATTGAACTATTTGTAGTGAGGTGGATGGATCTAGAGTCTGTCATACAGAGTGAAGTAAGTCAGAAAGTGAAAAACAAATACTGTATGCTAACACATATATATGGAATCTAAAAAACAAAAAAAAGGTTATGATGAACCTAGTGGCAGGACTGGAATAAAGATGCAGACGTAGAGAATGGACTTGAGGACACGGGGAGGGGTAAGGGTAAGCTGGGGCGACATGAGAAAGGGGCATGGACATATATATACTACCAAATGTAAAATACATAGCTAGTGGGAAGCAGCTGCATAGCACAGGGAGATCAGCTCGGTGCTTTGTGAAAACCTAGAGGTGGGATAGGGAGGGTGGGAGGGAGGCTCAAGAGGGAGGGGATATGGGGACATATGTATGCATAGGGCTGATTCACTTTGGTGTACAGCAGAAACTAACACAGTATTGTGAAGCAATTATACTCCAATAAAGATCTATAAAAGAAAAAAACAATTTGTGGACGTATTTTAAACCTCCATAATAATTAGTATATCTTTTCAGATAACAACACAAGGTAGTACAGACTATGTGCTACCTGAGTGATGCAAGTGGTGAGTGCTATGGGGCAACCTAGGCTCAATGAATAACCGTGTTTTCTTGTGCAATCAGGGAAGGTTGCACAGACAAGATGAGTCTTGAATTGAATGAAGAATAAGGTCGGAAAACCAGAGAGAATCAGGCAGGCATTCCAGTTGGTACAGACAGAGTGAATCAAGTGGGAGGGAGGTTCTCACCTTAGATGTCAAAGTCCCCAGACTACTTACTCCATGTTACCTCCTCTATTTTCCCATCCACCATATCCACACTCCCGACCTCCACCATCTAGGCAGTCTTGGAAGTTTCCCTTTTGCAACATTTGATTAGACTGTGGACCAGTGACTACTCTTCCCCACCCCCCGCATTCTTTTTCCAAATTGATTTTAATATCCTGCTTCATCATTGTACACCAGGTGTGTGGGGGAGAGAGTGCGAGGAGGGAAGAGACACCTCATTTTTTTAGTTTATCGGTCACTGGATCATGTGCTTGGAACTTTAAAATAGGGTGTGTCCTATATGTTAGAAGAAGGGGATATATTCATATATATATATATATGCACACACATATATACACATATACATATACATATATACACACATACGGATATCTCGATGGCCAGAGGAATGGACTGTAAGAGTTGTCCACCAAAGTACATTCTTACCTTCTTCCTTTGTTACTAGAACTGCCTAGTGTTAGCTGGATCTGTGGTTGCCCAGCTAGAGAACTCTACCTCCCACCTTCCCAACAGTTAGATGTGGCTGTGTGTCTAACCAGGTCAATGGAATGAGGAGAAATGACATGTGCTACCTCTGGGACACACTCCTAGGAGTACTGAGATGTGCACCCCTTTCCTTTCTGCCTTTTTGCTGGGCTAAGATACAGATGCGCTGCCAGGTTCTGGGATGGTGGTTACGTATGTGGATAGCGGTGCTGCCCTCCTAGTCCTGGACCAGTACATGAGAGAAAAAAACAAAACAAAAACTATCTTGTTTCAAATATAATACCTTTGGGTTACAGCAACCTAAGCTGTATTCCAACGAAAAGCTAGGCCTAGTTTTGGAAAAGAGTATTAAATATTCCTTTCTCCAAGGGGCAAGGCAGAGCCATTCCTGAACACACGGAAAAGAAACTTTTGCTATTCTAAGTCAACGTTTTGACCCAACTTAACCAAATACATAATCACTGTACACTTAATTTGAGCCAATATAGTGTGAGATATTACGGAAGAAAAGACACGGTCCTGCTCAGTGCTCTATTTCTGGATCGTTACATAATAGAAGAAATAAACTTCTATTTTGTTTAAACCGATGTATTTTGGGTATTTGTTATACCAAAGAGGATGCTTAGACTGCATCCTAAAGAACATACATTGTTAGAATTTGTTGGAAAACCAGAGCATAATCACAAAAATAACACTTCAAAGCAGTGCATGCCCAATGGGGAATATGGACAAAAAAAGACTCTCTCAGTGTGGAGAAGCTCAGAAGGGTTTAGGAGATTCTGAAGAAATTGAAAACTTAGTGATGAAAATGGCATCATTGAAGGCAGGAATATTAATTCTCTCCTAAACCAACCGACCAGCCAACCAAGCAACCAACCTCAGTGTAACTTTTCTCTCAACTATTCTGGTAAATGAGATAAGAAACCCCTGTTTTATGAAAAAAGGTATTTTTTTCTTTTAAAAATTAAAAAAAAAATTATAATAATAAAAGTATCACAGCCAGGGGAATACTTGAGAACACTGTAACAATATGTACCATTTCAAACCAGAAGTTTAAAGAAAGTGAAAACCAGTCAACCATTACCATGAACAACAAAACTGCAAACAGTTTTTCAATTTTTTTCTAGTCTTTCTTCAGTGGGTGTGCAAGGGGAGGTGTATGCATTATTATACGTGTACTACATACTACACGTATACATACTGTAGCTTTGTGGAGGTTTCTTAACATTACGTAAGTACTTCTCCTTGACATGAAAAATTCTTCGGTTTTGTGTGTGTGTGTGTGTATGTGTGTGTCACATGGGATCTTAGTTCCTGGACCAGGGATGCAACTGGCGCCTACTGCAGTGGAAGCGCGGGGTCTTAACCACTGGACTGTTGGGGAAGTCCCCAAATTCTTCAGTTCTTAATTTCATACAATCAACCACAAAACATAGAAAAAGAAAACAGACTATTTCCTTTGACAGAAGAATGATCTTACGACCTAGAAGGGACACCTTGTAAAGCTTTCAGGAAAGGCCTGTAGAACCTACTTCGTATAATCTCCTGGCAAAACCAAATAAATCGGAAGTAAAAACTGAGGCACACTACACAGACAGAGCCCGTATTACAAAACAAACACTTTGACCGAGTTTTAATGTTACCTGTCTGGCCATATTCTACAATACAGTAGGTCTAATCCTCCTGTCCTCAGGTTACAGTCCAGACCACATGAACACAAAGAGGTAACTAAACAAGATAGAGAGGTAACTAAATCCACTGGGGAGGTTGGCTCAAAGCCTTCTCATTTCTCTGGGTGCTAATCTGAAGTTCCTTCCTTCATGAGACTATCCGCCCACTTTGGCAGAACATTCGTGTAAAACCAAAATTTCACATATGCAACTCCCAAGTCACCCATCTGCCTCCACCCACCTTATTTTTGGGGTTGAAAATCTGTCACAGGAGCAAATGTTACGTCCCATGATTTGAGAGCCAAGAATGATCCAAGAGAACGCTTAAGTTCACCCGAACTGCATTAATGGGGTATCAGTGCCTTGTTCCTATTTTTCCCCCTTGTGTTTATCAGTATATTACTTCTATGTGTGTGCATATAAATATGTGTATATAAAACATTATATTGAATTATCTTTCCTATTCTTTTTGAAAATTGTGCTTAGTTTTCACTTTGGATAATCATCTTTTTGATAATTTATCATCATAATGGCTCCAGTGGAAACAGATATAGTTACTAGTTTGTAAGGTAGGTAGTCGTACAGCTTACTGGGCACACCGAGCAATTGTTAAGGAGGTTGTGAAATGCGAACGAACTTCAAAGTCAAAAGCCGGGCATTATTTTTTTGGCCCCTGCCGCTTCACGTACTTTGTACCGCCATTACTACACTTGTCTTCCGCCCGGGAACTTTGCACCTAAGGGAAGCAAGGAAAACTCGCAGGTGCCTCCCCGGCCCCGGCCCCGGCCCCACGCCAGGGCGAGAACACGCCCTCGGTCCCGGCCCGCCCGGCACGAGGCTGAGGTAATCACTCGATTCCGGGGCGGGGGCAGCACAGCCCGCCGCGTACGTGCCCCCGCTGACCCGCCCGCCCGCCGGCCGGCCAGTGCACCCAGCTCCCGCCGCCCCGCGCCGGCCGCCCACTCTGCAGCGGCGAGTCGGCTCCCGACCGCGCCGGTCCACCCGGCGGCCCCTAGGCAACACACCCGCCCATGCTCGCCGCCACCAGGACGGCCCACCAGCTCTTCCAGAGCCTCTTCTACGTCCGGAGAATGGGTAACTCCGCCTCCAACATCGTCAGCCCACAGGCGGCCCTGCCGGGCCGGAAGGAGGCGATCGCCGTAGCGGGTAAGGACGCGGGCACGCACAGAGGGCGCGGTCGTCGCCGCTACGCACGCGCATCTTCTGGCCGCCAGAAGGGAGCCGGGGGCCAGCCTTGGGAGGGTCGGCAGCCGGCGTTCTGCGCAGGCGCGGAGGGCGCTGGCAGGGGAGGGGGCCAGGGGTAGCTATTCTTTCTTTGTTTGGGTTCTCACCAGCTAAAACAACGCGAAACGCGTTGACTGGACCTACTACGGTGGTATAATTCACCTACAGTGCAAATACCCTGGCGGCTTCAAACTTCGGGCGGGAAAAGCACTGACCCAATTTTCGCCCTTTCCCACGGTGTGCATCCCCTTTCCTTTTGGCACCGGCCGCTGGGATGCAGGCCACTTGCAGCGGTGCTGCGGCGTTGTGTTGTCACTGGAAGCAATGGAATGGTACAGAACGATGAATACTGCAGTTTTGAAATTGTTTCTCACTTCACTGTTCTGGTTGTAGGAATTATCCTCAGGCTACCATTATCCTCCAGAACTGCCCGGTTTCCCCCAGTTGGCAGGAGCTGCCCCTGGCCCTGTGCTCCCGGGTTTGCCTGTGTGTGTCAGCCATGCAGAAGAGCTGTGCTTCCCAAACTTAAAAATAATTTTCCAATCTCATACCAATACTTCTGGAGAGTATAATAAAATATATATAAAATATAATAAAAATGAAATGCTAGAAAAATGAAATAAAATGAATAAAAATGAAAAAATATAATAAAAATGAAATGCTAGAAACTGCTGTAAAAGTTTCGAAAGCTTAACACTAATTTCTGTCTCAGCCCTATAGAAGGTCGCGGATAGCACGTGTCCACCAACCTGAGGACCATACTTTTTGAGAAGAATTACCTTGGTGCATTGCTTCTCAAAGTGTAGTCCCAATGATATATTTTAAATACGCCCTTCCGGTGATACTAATGCACTTGGTAGTTTGTAAACGGGTGCCTTAGAGGTGTTGGAGGATTAAGCGGTGATTAATCTTTTACGTATGGCTCGATGCCAAGATAAATCCTGCATTTACAGTTTTCTAGGGATTCTTCCATCTTTCTTTTCCTTAAAGAATTGTTGAGTATATATATAGGAGGAGGTCGTTCTGAGGGTCTGTGTATCATACACAATACTCAGTATGAGAATGGAGAAGGTAGAGGTCTTTGGATTTGAGGCAGTTTGGGAACTGATGCTGTGTGACCTGTTTCTCATTCACCTACATTAGCAGTTCTATTTCCTATGTCCCATATCACTTCACTCCCAGCTCATTGATAGCCTTAAAAAGCTTATTTTATTTTTGACTCAAATTCAGAGAATGAGTTTCGAAAAAAAAAAAAAATCCAGATTATCTTTAACTCTGCCTCTAAATTACATAACCCCATTATCTAAACTTTATCTTGAAAGAGAATTCTCTTTTAACAAACTAGGATTCATAAATGGATATTTAAAGGCAATAATTCTCAATGCTGAACTTTCCCAGCTTGTATGAAACTTCCTCTTTACACACTACAGTGTCTGTGGTATATCCTCCTAGACATCTAAAAACAAAGAAACCAAAAACTCCTGATCAGATTTCCAAACTGGTTCAAGGTTAAAACTGACCACAATTTAGTTCTCCTTTATCTTAACCAAGGTCTTCCCACTCAGTTCTTTAGTATATAAATGACACTTCTGGTAAAAGATTAACATGACAGAAACAAGCCAATGATTTCTTTTTCTATCCATCTAATAACTCTGACTGCAAAACCTCAGGACTTGGTTCTTGTCCAGGCTCTTCTGCCTTTTTATGTAGCCATGCATACATTGCTATATCTGGACCAGTGAACTGTTTTTTTTGGTGTAGGGCCAAGCCTATAAGGCACATGTCCTTTTTGTTCAGCTGTTGTAACTTCCACCCCCGCAAATGCTTAAATTTTAGATTGTGGCCTTTCCTATCTCTACCCCTGGTACTGCTGCCTTGACAGGTTGCCGAAGGTTCTGATTGGCCCAAGAAATGGGCAGTGTTACCTCTTTGGTGGGTTTTCAGTGGCTGTAAGATAGAAGCTTAGGGACTTAATATTATTGTTTTGAAAGTTAAATTCATCTCTACTCCAACCTCCAATCTGTTTAACAGCTTTTCACCTTTCTGTATTACCTCTGTCTATGTCTGTTGTTATTTGCAACCTACCCTTAGTTAATTTATAAAGGTAACATGGTTTCAGGAAAAATACTAATGATATTTTTATTTTGTTCTAGAACAGGATGCACTAATTTAAAAAATTCATATGGAAAAATAAGCAGGAATAGTTAATGGTAACTGTAAAAGAAGAACAAAGAGGGACAACTAGCCCTTGCACATAGTGAAAGTGAAGCTTAATAATTTAAACAGTGTGGGACTGGTCCATGAATAGATAGGTCGATAGAAAGATCAGAAATTCTTAAATACGTATGAGAATGTAGCATATGGTACAGGTGACATCTCAAATCAGTGGGGAAAAGATGGAATATTCAATAAATGGTTATGGGACAACTGAATAGCCATATGGAAAACAAACAAACCAACAAAAACCCCCCCAAAAAAACCCACCAAAGTTGGATCTGTACTTCACATCTTAAACCAGGATAAGTTCCAAAAGATATATGTTGATAATAGCTCACTCTTATTGAGTGTTTACTATATGCTGGACACTGTAGTAATTGATTTACATTTACTAATACATTTAATCTTCACAACAACCTGAGGAGGTGGTAACCTGTTACTATCCCCACTTGTAGGTGTGGAAACTGAGGCCTATAGAGTTTAGGTGACTTATACAAGGTCATATAGCTAATAAGTAGTGGATCTGGGATATGAATATAGGCAGTTTGCCTCTGGGGTTTGTGATCTTAACTACTATAGGTACTGTTTTTTCATTTAGTTAAATGTAAAAAATGAAATAATTTAAGGATGAGCAAGGGAGAATTCCTTTAGAAAGGAAAGCCTTTTTAACCATGACTTGAAAATCAGAAGGCTTAAAAAACTGATAAATTGGATCACAACAAAATAAAAATCTTCTGCAGGCAAAAATTACCGCAAGCAAATTCAAAAGACAAACTGGGGTAAATATTTGCAACTCATATCGTAGGTGAAGGACTAATCTCCCTAATATATTAGAAGCTTCTAGAAGATAATAAGAAAACACCAACATCCATTAGAAAAATAGACAAAGGTTATGAGCAGTTTACAGAAAAGGAAGTATAATTGGCTCTTAAACATATAAAAAGATGCTCAGCTTCATTCATAATGAGGAGAATGCAAGTACCATTTTTCATTCTTCAGACTGGCAAAAATCCAGAAATTTGATGATACACTTTGTTGGTAAATCCTTGAGGGAGAAGACACTCTTGTACATAGCTGGCAAGAATGTAAATTGGCTCAACTCTTATGGAAGGCAATTTGGCCATATCTGTCAAAAATTTAAATGTGTATACCTTTTGACCCAGGAATTCAATTTCTGGGAATTTATCCTACAGATATACTTGCATTCGTGCCAAATGATGACTGTACCAGGTTATTCACTGCAGCTTTTCTTGCAGTAGTCAAAGATTGGAAACAACCCAAACGCCCATCAATAGGGGCTAGTTAAATTAATTATGGTTCATCCTCACAATGAAATATGCAGCTGTAAAAAAGAACATGGAATATCTATATGAATGGGTATGGAGAGATTGCCAAGATATAGTGTTAGGTGAAAAATGCAAGGTCAGAACAGTGTTATATGTTAACTTTTGTGTGAACAGGGAGGATAATAATAATATTTATGCACAAAGAAACTTTGGAAGGATAGATAAGAAAGTAATGGCCACGGAGAGGGCGATGCAGTGAGCTGATGGTGGAGGGGAGACACAGGTGGGAGACTTGACTCCGTGCTTTTTTTTAACTTTTGGTTCTTATAATGCGACTGCATTATTGAATTAAGTAACTCCACTTTGAAGATGATCTCTTTCTGCTGTTTTTAGTCTAATTGACCACCTTACTATCATCTTTTTTTCATCCCTATTTCAAGTTCTTTTTTTTCCCTTTTAAATTTTGCTCTTTTTCACGTCAAGTTCTGTTTTTCTTCCCCAACTTGCTTTTGTAATCAAAATCCACATTTTGGCGTGATTTAAAAATCTAAATTTAGAGGGTGAAATTGGAATAAGTTAATCCAAATCATTTTACATTTCATAAATATTCATTTTTATTGAAGTGTCAATTGTGGTGGCATCATTTATACAAAGAAAAGATCCTTGGGGACAAATTCCTTCCACTATTATGTAGAAGGCATTATGTGTATTTCTTTTATTTTGAGTGATGTACATAGACTTTTAAAAGAAAATCATGGAAAACAAATTTCCTTTTAGAAAAATTTTCACCAGTGTGTGATTAACTTCTAAATTGTAGGACACAGAGCTATTATCTCTCCTCTTTGCATCCTGTCTAAAGCTCTTTATTTTACCCTCTGTTTCAGAATCCTCAGTACTTTCCTGAGGTCCCTGGGATAAGGGTATTCCATATCTCC